GGCCGCCGGAGCGCGGCGCCCCGCTCGGGCCGAGCCGAGCCGCCTAAAACGTGCCGCCTTCTGTCCTCTCCTTTGCAGTCTCCCGCTTCATGGCGCCGTCCTCGGGCATGAACATGGGCGGCATGGGCAGCCTGGGCTCCCTGGGAGACGTGAGCAAGAGCATGGCCCCGCTCCAGAGCACGCCGCGGAGGAAACGGAGGGTCCTTTTTTCCCAGGCCCAGGTTTACGAGCTGGAGAGACGTTTCAAGCAGCAGAAATACCTCTCCGCTCCGGAGAGGGAACATTTAGCCAGCATGATACATCTCACCCCGACTCAGGTCAAAATCTGGTTCCAGAACCACCGCTACAAGATGAAACGCCAGGCCAAAGACAAGGCTGCGCAGCAGCAGATGCAACAGGAGAACGGCTCTTGCCAGCAGCAGCAGTCTCCCAGAAGGGTGGCGGTGCCAGTGCTTGTAAAGGATGGCAAGCCCTGCCAAGCAGGCTCCAACACACCCACAGCAGCTATCCAGAGCCATCAGCAGCAGGCGGCTACAACGATCACAGTGGCTACCAATGGCAACAGCCTCTGACAGCATCAGAGCCACCAGACAAACAGTGCGGGGCAGTCTCCAGACATGGGACAGCACTCGGCCAGCCCTTCCTCTCTGCAGAGCCAAGTCTCCAGTTTGTCTCACCTAAACTCTTCTACTTCTGACTATGGCACTGCCATGTCTTGCTCCACCTTGCTATACGGTAGGACCTGGTGAAAGGATTAGACAAAGGAAAAGAAAAAAATAAGGAGAAAAAAAAAAGTTTTTAACCCCCCCCCCCCCCCCCCCCCCCCCCGTTTTACTGAGCGGTTCTCTGGGGACCTCTAAGAGAGAGAAAGAGAGAGAGACTTTTTTTGTTGTTCGGTTTTGTTGTTACTCTTGATGGTTTTGGGTCTTTTTTTTTTTTTTTTTTCCCAAGATTGTTGTATGGGCTGTTAAAAAAAATATCTGACTATTAACCACGGAACAGTCTGCAGAAAGGGGACCATCGTTAGGCATGGTCCGAAGGCTTGGATTTCAGATGTACACTTTGCCAGCGACTAGGACTTGCATGTAAATATAGAGATTTTGGGGGATGGGGTGGTTTTCCCCAAAAAAACCGCATTCGCGTCACCCAGACACAAGAAGCAGCTTCCCCCCTCCCCCGGTCTCCTCTCCCAGAGCCGCCGCCAGGGCCAGCGGATGGAGACGTGGAGTCATCAAAGGCTTGGCTTTTATTTTCCTCCTTACGTTTGGTGTGAACCTGTAGCTGTATAATGCTGTCAAAAGTTGGACTAAACCCATAGTTTTTAGTAGCCTGTATATTTTGTTGTAAAAAGAAAAAGAAAAAAAAATACAATCAACCAAACCAACACCACCCCCCACCCCTTTTTTTATGGACACTGATCACCCCGTCGTAAATCCTCTGGCAGTTTGTTATTTGCGCACGCCGCCTTTTCCTGTTGTAACTTATGTAGATATTTGGCTTAAATATAGTTCCTAAGAAGCTTCTAATAAATTATACACATTACGAATATTCTTTTTTTTTTATTATTTCCCTTTGGTTCTCCTCTCCAGACCCTCCCTTCCTCGCATCTTTTTTTTTTTTTCCTTCTTTTTTTTTTTTTTCTTGATGGAAAAACAACCCAGGATGTTGCCAAACCCTGAAAGGCCCCTGCCCCTCCCGGGGCCCGGACCCTGTTCCCAGAGGGAAGCTGCGCCAGGGAGTTAACGGGATACACGATCGGTCCTCAGCGTGCAAAAGTGACGAGCAAACGCGTGGGATTCGCAAACTCGAGGGCGAAGGGATCGAGTCCAAATTCATTAGCCCGATTATTAGGGGGGCAGGGGGCACCTCAGAGACTTCTTGCTAGAGAAAGCAAAGTATTCCGGGAGTAGAAATTCAAATGCCAAAGGCACGGAGGAGAAAGAAGGTAAAAGTCTAACGCCACTAGAAACAAATTAACGAAGAACCTGCTGACAGTATAGAACATGCGGCCGATTAAAAAAAGCGTCCAGTTTTAATACCTTGTAAAAAAAAAAAAAAGAAAAGATAATAATTTCTACCAGGTTTTCCTATGTACTTGTATTTTAAGGGAAGTACAGTCAACTTATTTATAATCAAAATAAAAAGATAGTTTATTGTGTACAACATGTAGTTTGAATTAACTTTCTTTATCAGACTATATTTAATTTTCTACACGTACCCACCCCCGCAAGCAGACACACACACGACCACACAGTTTCTCCTGCCCACGGCCACCCCATTACCCAGGCGAGAGGTTAGCTGCAGGCTGCACCCCAGTTGGACGCAGATCGTTTGGGGGTTTCTTTTTTCTTTCTTTTTTTTCTTTTTTCTTTTTTTTTTTTTTTCTGTAGCGATTTGGGAATCTTGCGAAGAAGGAGACGAGGAGAAAGTACGTGTGCGCGCACGTGTGAGTGGGTGTGCGTGGGTGCGCGGGGTGCGCGCCTGGCTGAGACACCAAGGGGTGGTTGGTAGGAAGGTAAATATAATGGGTAACGCAAGGCATTTAGATATTAACTTTGTTGTAAATATATAAAGCATATCAAGTTAAGCAACTCGTACCGGACAAGCCCGAAATAGATGTAATTCTCTATCTTTCGGGTCCCAAATACCCCTTTTGTGAGTGTAACAAAACGAGAAGTCCCCCATCCTGAAAGACCCCGTCTCGTGTTTTCCTTCGCATCTGCTTGTCGGTTTCGTTGTTTTGTTTTTTTTCTCCAGATCCCCTCAGTTAAACCACAGAAGCGAATCGCAGTCATTGAAAGACCTTTGAATTACAGAGGTATTATGAAATGCTCATATTTTTGAAGAGAAAGCAAGCAGCTAGCCCGGGATGGAAACAACCCAACCTCCAGTTTAAGTAGCAGCTTTTGAAAGCTCCGGTCTTTTATTTATACAAGATAGCCGGTGTTACTCGGACACCAAGTGCTAGTTTGGATGGAGAAAAAGGGAAATAGACAGAAGAGAAAAAAAAAAAAAAAAATTATCGGATTTTTTCTGACCCCCCCCCCCCTTATTTCTAACTAGAGAACATCACGTGTGTCAACAGGAATTTCGAGACTTTTCATTCTTTATATAATGTCCTGCTTTATACAGCGACATTCTGAACTAACCCAAAGAATATTCTTTTTTTTTTTTTTTTTTCTTTCTCTACGCAGAATATTCTTTTCAGATCTATAACATCACGTTAAGGATGGCGGGGGGCGGTGATCTGGAACTTAGTGCTGTTATTTCTGATAAAAGAAGCAAGTGTTGGGAATTCCTAGTCAGTGGCACAGCGCTGCTAGCTCCCGCGAAGGCGGCGAGAGCAGGGTTAACTCTACGGATTTTGTTAAATTAGGGTTAGTTTCTCCCGGAGTTAATATACAAGACCGAAGGGGAAAGTGCTGTGGTTAAGTCGACATTTCCCCTTTAGATGTAATTAATGTTTGCATCCTTTCAAACACAGGAACGTTCAAAAGTAAGGAGCCCTGAAAGGCATTAATACAGCCGAGAAATATTATTCCCCCCTCCCCCCCAATATTGGAGTTAGCATGTTCGATAGAAATCCAGTCAGTGACTTTTCATTATAGACTTCGGGGGAAATAAATGAATTTTATTGTGTCTCGACAACCTCATAAACACATATTTGGTGGTGGGTGTAATTACTGTAATGGATTATTATGTACACTGACTTATCTTTCTTAAACTAGATTTAGTTTCGATTAAATAAACTCGTTTCCACTTTGTCTGATGTCGGCTTAGTTTAAAGTCTGTTTACTTGTTCCACAGAAAGGTGAATTCATCTCTTTATTAAGCACTAGAGACCGAGCAAACACAGTTCAAACTGTATTTACATATCAATCAGGAGAAATGCAAACAAACTGCTCTTTAACAATTTTATAGAGTTTTTTAATGACATTGTGTTATAGCCTTTTATCATAAAATTCTTTGTGTAAGCCAGTTATGCCTTGATTGAGATGAAGATATTTCGGGGAGGGGGCGGGGTGTGGTGTGGTGTAAATACATTTTAATCTCCAGTATCCCTCGAGAACACTCACGAGAACTTAGTCAATGTATAGCTTTTCTAAATTAAAATCTGTGCCTCCGTCTAAACGCCTGCTTCTTCCAATATGCTGATTTTCAGTCTCTCGGTAATCAATGCAGAACTTGGATAATGGGACGGCGAAGGGGAGGGTTGGGGCCAGCATGATTCAAATCTGAAATGCTGGAAGAAATGCACGTTTCCCAATATAACTGCTCCTCTATCGACGTGAGACCGTGGGTACCCCCTATTTTGGGTGATAAAGGGATCTAGTGAGAAATGGCTCTTCCCTTCCACTCCCCCACTCCCTGGCACTGCCTGTAAGTGTAGGAAAACCGCGGAGGGCATTTTCTCCTGCTGTAAATAGGAGTTCATGCTTGAGTGCCATGAAGTGTGCATGTAGTGGCACAGCAGGCTGTGGAAAAAAAAAAAAAAAAAAGAAAAAAGAAAAAAAGAAAACAACAACCAACAAAAAACCATAACCACCATCACCACTACCACAGCCACAACAGCAACAATAGCAAAAGGCTTCTTCATATTTGCTGGACGCCCTGCGGCTCCGGGGCCTCCACCGGGCGCTGCTCCTCGCCCAGCTGCGGGCTACTGGAGCAGCGGAGTTGTTATCATACCTACGGGGGGGGGACCCCAGCCACGGGGAGCTGATCTAAAAGTATATCTCCTGCATCTCGGTTCAACAGGCAGTGCAGGGCCCTAAGACAGTGTTCAAAGTGCAGATCCCGAACAATGTAATCTGAGACAGCTCTGAGATGACACCAAGAGAAGTTGCCACGGCGCGGGGGGGGTTTTTTTGGGGTGGTGGTGGTGGAAAAAAGTATTTTAGGAGTTTTGTGGCGGAGCGCAGGTAGAGGGGCCTCGCTGGGAAGGCAGCCCCGGTCCAACTTGTCGTGACGGCTGCTTTTACAAAGGGGACCTAGAGGTAAAGACTGAGTGACTTCTGAAGAATTTCAGTCCTTTCATGGCCGTGTCGGGAGCAAAGCTGAGATTTTTTTTTTTTTTCTGTCTGACCCGCTGTTCCTCTTATGATGCCCTTCAGGGGGAAAAAAAGAACTCCAAACCCTAAGTAAATGGTAATACTGTTTATATGTATCAAATGTGTACAGAGACCTGACCCAGTACGGCTGTTCCTATGAGGTAGAGAGATTACCGTCTCTGGTAAAGTGGTGAATAATACGAAATTACTTCCCCCCCCCCCCCCCCCCCTCTTTTTTTTTTTTTTTTTTTTCCTGGCTGCAAGCACATTAGGGAGCAGGTAAGGTCAAAGTTTTCTATATCCTATGTCTTTCTCTCGAAGGCTTCTGGTCAGCTATATAAACAAGACAGTGAATAAGATGTATTGATGTAGAAAGAAACTGAAATTCGTTTTGATGCTTAAAACAACTTACTATGCAGAATATTTCTTCGGAAACCCAGAGATGAAAACGTTAACTATGACATTTAATCTTCGATGTAAAGGTTTTTGTTAGGGGGAGGGTGGAGAGGGAAATTGGTATTTTTTTCTTACAATGACACAGACATTAAGAAGCAGACGTTTACAAATGGCCGAATGCATTACCTACGAAAGACTGTATGAATACACTGTCTTGAGCCGGCGTACAGAAATGGAAAAAAAGTTAAAAATGTGTATTCTAAAAATATTTACCAACTGACTAACGATACTTAGGTCTGTTT